GGGGCAGCCCGGGCATCGCGCCGGGCAGCGGCGCAGCTCCCGCTCACCGTCATCCACGGCGTCCCGGAAGGAGCCCGAGCGGATCATGCCCTTGGGCTTGTCTGCCAGGGAGAGGGTGCTGCCCATCTGGGACGTGCTGTACAGCTCAAAGGTGGAGTCGTGGGTGGGGATGCTGTTGGAGCGGGTGATCCGCGGGGTGGTGGCGGCAGTGGGGCTCACTGCAAGGACAAGGCAGGGGAGAAGCAGGGTCAGAGTCACACTGGGGACCTGGGACTGGCATGGGGAAGCAGGGCTGGGAGCGATCCGTGAGAACTGGGAGGGAGCAAGGAAGCAGGGATCGTGGTCCCAAAGCAGCGGGCCGCGAGGCGAGCCAAACCGAGGGCAGATCAGAGCCCTGAGACTGGGCCAGACAGCCTGATGCGGAGGTGATGGATGCCCCCCAGGCTCCCCAGCCACAAGCCAACAGCTTGGTGGGGCCAAAGACGCCAAACGCCAGGGCTGCTGGGGGCACCAAGGAGCAGAGAAAAGCAGCAGCCACAACCACATCAGCACTCAGTGGCAAGCGCCACTGCCCAACGGCAGCACGGGGCTGCGGGCCAGGCGCTGGCACCGCTCTCCGTGCCCCCCAGCGAGCCAGGGCACACGGGGGGCAGCCGGGGTGGCACCAGCAGGGCGCAGGAGGAGGACACTGACCGATGCTGGTGAGCGGGCCCTTCCCGGCCAGCGGCACGGAGAGCGCGGGGGGCGAGGGCAGCTCCGGCTGGGCGTCCGGCTCGGGCAGCCCGCCGATGGTGTGGGAATGGCGCCGCTCCTTGGCCTCCTCCTGGGAGTGGAGCTGGTACCTGCGGGGAGGAAGGGACACGGGCACAGTGCGGCGCCGTCCCTGGGGCACGTCCCATCCCGGCGCCGAGGACACCGCCGGCCCCGTGCTCCAGCCAGCGAGCTCCAGCACCCAGCGCCTCCCCCAGCAGCACCCAGCCCCACTGCGGGATTCGGAGTCTTTTACCTCAGCCCTTTCTTGGGCAGCGTGTTCCGGTCACGGTTGGTGCTGGAAGAGAAGAGTGGAGAGCAGTGACGTCCCCGCACAGCGGGAAGGCGGCTGCCGCAGGGCAGCGTCCTCAGCGCCACGCCGCGAGTCGCGGGGATGGGAAGATACCCAAGACCATGACAGGGTGGCCACGACAGGGGGGCCGCAAATGCCCCCCTTGCAGCCCTACCTGTCCAGGTGCGCAAGCCGGGGGCTCCCGCTCCAGCCCAGCTCACCGGCCTCTTCCTCTCCCTCCGCACTGGCAGGGGGGGCAGCAGCAGGGGCAGGGGCAGGGCTGCTGCCCCCCGAAAAGGCACTGGGCAGGCTCATGGGCATCTGCAGGGACTCCATGCTGCGGTGCAGGCCCGAGAGCTTGGGGTACATCCTGCCCTCCTTGGGGACGCTGAAGCCGCCCATGAGCTCCAGGCCCTGGGAGAAGCTGGCCGAGTTGATGTTGAGGATGGGGGCAGGACTGGGGCTGAAGCAGGGCGTGAGGTGCCCGCCGGCCGGGTGCAGCTCCTGGAGCTTGGCAGTGTGCGGGGGGTGCAGCTCGCTGGAGGAGGGCAAGTCCAGGCTGTTGGAGTTGACCTTGTCCAAGTTGGCCAGCGAGGGAGGCTTCACGTAGGTCTTGGCAGCCGCTCTGGGGGCAAAAAGAGCGTTATTGGGGGCAGGCGTGACGCGGGGCACAGCTGCGCGAGGCACCTGCTCTCCTTGCAGGATGTCCTACCTGAGCGGCGTGGGGGGCAGCTCGGCCACCTTGGCCGCCGGCGGGAGGTTGGCCTGGGCCTTGGGGGTGCTCTCGGGCGAGCCAATGCTCTTGAGGGTCACGCACTCGGAGTCAAGCGCCACAGCCTTGGCCTTGGCCTTCTCCTTCTCACGGTCCGTCTGGTTGACGGGGGCCGGCGCGCCACGGCCCGCGCCGATCTTGGACGGCTCCTTGAGCCGCGACACCGAGATGCTGCTCTGCTTGGTGCTGAGCAGGCTGGGGTCAATGCTGCTGCTGACGGGGCGGGCCGCCCCGCGACCGCCCGTCACGCTCATGGAGCTCGACTTGGCCGGCCGAGGAAGGCTCCGGTACTGGATGTTGGAACGGGCTCCTGGGGCCAGGAAGCCGGGTTCGGCCGCGTTGGAGACATCCAGGCTCGTTTTCCTCCCGCTGACTGGCTTGACGGGGATGCCAGAGCTCTTCTGGATCTTGCCTAAGGTGGCCGAGCCCCCGGCTTGCATGACGGTGGCAGTGCCGGTGGCGGGAGCTGGTTTCTTATAGCCAAAGGAGCTGGAGGCAGAGGGGCGCGTGAGGCCCGAGGGCGGCTTCTTGGCATCGGCAACGCGGTCGCGGCCGGCGTTGGAGGAGGAGCGCTGCAGACCCGTGTTCTTCACGGACAGCTTGCTCTTGTCAGTGGCTTTGGTCTCGGGCTTGCCTGGCAGGCAGGGAAGGAAGGATCAGTGTCCCAGGAGCAGGGGAGGCTTTGGGGACGTGTGGGTCCAAAGCAGCCCTGATCCCACAGCAACTCCGGAAATGGAGGAGGTGGGGTGGAGAGGAAGGGACACGAGCACTGGCCTCAGGTGGTGGGACAGAACAAGGCTAAGACCCCGACGCAGTGACACACGCCAGCCCAGCGCAGAGCAGACACTGCCCTGGAGAAGCAGAGCTTGGCCAAAGGGCCACCAAGGGTCCAGCTGATCCTACTTAAAGCAAGGACCCATCGTGGGCGCAATTCAGTTGCGCGCATGGATGCACCACCAAGATGCGCCCAGGATGCCCCCAAGGAGATCTTCAAAACCCACTTGGACGCAGTCCTGTGCCACGTGCTCTAGGTGACCCTGCGTCTGCAGGGGGTTTGGACTAGATGATCTCTAGAGGTCCCTTCCAACTTTGAGCATTCTATGATTCTAAGATAAGGGCAGATCTGGGAGCCCCCAGGAACATCAAGACAGCAAGTGCCTGTCCCACACACCTGCCTGTGGGGGAGCCAAAGACCCCCCCAACCACCTGCTACTCCAGCCCATTTGCATCTGAGCACAGCCAGGGTCCCCATCGTCATCCCCATGGCCAACATACCCACGGCAGGCTCATGAAGACACCAAGATCTCTCCCTGTGAGGGGGGACCCTTCCCAAGCCCAGGCTCACCTGCCACTTTGAGGGTGCTCTGGGCCGTGTGGGTGATGGGGGATGTCACTGCCACCGGGGGTGTCTTGCCCTTCTTGAGGGACCCCGGAGTGCCCAGGCTAACGGGCTTCTTCAGCTCGCCGCCCTTGGTCGCCTCCTCGCAGCTCTCCGAGGGCTCCCGCCGCCACTTGGAGGAGCCGTGCTCCATCTTGAGGCTGCTGCTCTCGTAATCCAGCTTCTTGGGGGCCTTGTCGTCTGCGTCGCCGTACCAGCTGAGCCCGCTCTCCACCAGCGAGCGCTTCTCCGAGTCCGTGCGCAGCTGCGGGCAGAGCGGAGTCAGCGACGCTCCCGGCCTCGACCTCTGAGGGCTCCACACCCAGCAGGAAGAGGGATTCACGGGGCACCCAAGGGTGCTCCGAGCTCTGCTCGGTCACCACAGCTCAGCCCACGCTGTGGCTTGGTCTCCCCACACACCACCCCAGGATGGGAAGGGGAGGCAGGCGACCCTCCAACCTCCACCCTCGGCCTCCCGCACAGGCTCCGCGCGACGAGGGCGCCAGGGCCCGCGGCCGTGACGGAGGCACCTACCGCTATGGCCGAGTTCCTGCGCGACGCCGTGGGCGTGGAGGGCAGGGAGTTGAGCGAGGAGCTGGCGTTGAACTCCTCTGAGCTGAGGTTGTCGGAGGCATCGCTGAGGCCGCTGCTGATGGAGCTGCTCTCATCCCAGCTGCGAGGGGAGAGGCAGCGTGAGACCCCCTCGCCCACGGGCGCATCCTGCCACCCCTTAGCAATTCCCTGCCAGCCTGATGGTGCTGTGGGGCCCTGCCCAGCCCAAGCGGCATCCCCAGGCTCACGGCCCCGCTCCGGTTAGCGCCCGCTGCAGGGACGTGGCCGGGAGCCGGCGCTTGGCAGCCA